AATGTTTCCTTATCAACTCCAGTATGTCATTGTAATATAATAATCTGATTGGTTTTCGTGCATTTTGCATCATCACAAATTCATGACAATCGGATTCAACGAGTATTTTTTGCACAAATGATGTCATGATCCTTGGGTTATGATGTCATGTATAATCCCCTGCCTGTCAATTCTCAATATTTAAAGACATGGGGAGTTGACAGCCCTGCACAGAGATGAGATGATGTTCAGTTAAGAATTCACAAACTGCTGTTTTGAGTGCCTTGAAGTTGCTGGGGTCCTAATAGAAGAATTTACAAACTTTAATATGTACATAAAAAACAAGACTCTTGAGACTACACTAAGTCTGAAGAAATAGGTTTACTTGTAAACAGGCATAAGTGGGCATAAGATAGAATGTTGTTTGATTCCTATCCAGATTCTATTAACAGGTGTAATGGAATAATGTCAGCGTTGATGAAGAATACAACAAAGAAACGTTCATATACTGCCTCTTTAGTAACATTAATTTTGTTCTGTTTTATTGTCTTGCTATTCACCTTTCTTTTGTATTTCAACTCTGTTGTTACATTTTGCCAATGATAGTCCTCCTTACTCTTTTCAGCCCTCAGTTCATTTAAAGTATTATTTTTCAAATCTTGAAGTTCCTAATTTACAGTTTAAGATGCTTCCTTCAAGGAAAGCCTGAATTTTCCTGCCCATTTATAGTTATTGAGGACATAAACTTTTCACTTAAATCTCTTTCTCTATTTTACTTATGTCAATCTTTCCTTTCCAAAACCAGTCGTAGAAATTAATGTGTATCCATAGGATCCATCTCTGACTTAAAATGTTACCCAATCACAAAAATGCAAAGTAAGTGGCAAGACAAGATACTGATAGACATCTTTTGGGCACTAAGGCACAGATGGTCCTCAAGATTAAATAATTAATACCGTTGCTTTGATCTATAAGAATCTACACAAATATTAAAATTATAAATAATATTAATATTTCGTTTAGCATTCCAAAATACTTCAAAGAGTCCGCAAATTTGCCAAAATTGCCCTCTTCATGAGAAGTCAGAAAAAGATCAATACATAATACTATATGATGGTATAAAAGTCTAAAAAAAATCCCATCCCTCAGTCCACAAACCATCTGTTATAAAAAATGTTTTTGCGTTACTCTAAGTTATAACCAAATTCTTGCTTTCCTCCATTTTATCTCCCACCCCTTAAAAACTCCCAGCGCGCACTACGGGTTATGAGATTTTTTGTGCCTGTTTACATGACGTTATTCCGCTTCAAGTTGTTGTGTGTTGTCAGTACGTATTGTATCTTTTATCGTGTTTTCCTTACAAGAAAGTAGTTCCTCTTCCAAGAAAAATGGTCTGCGATAAGTGTAAGCCATAATAGCATTTTCTTCCCTAAATTTATCGTTCTTTGCGGGTGGCAGCATCTTTTCCAGAGTGATTTTTACTCCCAGTTTGTATCAGAAATGTTTGAAAATGTTCACTTTCTATTCAATGCAATGACGCAGGTCAAAAAAAACTCGGAAAAGTGATTTGCCCCGACCCATGGAAATCTGGAGCAAGGAATACAACAGGTAAAGAAAGTGTAGAATTGTAGATGACTCATCTTTTGTTACCCTGAA